TTATTATTATTATTATTATTATTATTATTATTATTATTATTATTATTATTATTATTATTATTATTATTATTATTATCTTCTTTTAATGTTTCATCCTTTACAAAAAATTCTCCATAAGGATCTTGTAAATGACCATAAACCATCCATGATGTAATATGTTTATACATGACTTCGTTACAAGCTTGAAATAATTTCAACATTATGGTTCGAAGTTCTGGAACACCTGTATTACATTTTTCAATTATTAGATTAAGTATTTGACATCCAAAATATTCCTCAGGTTTTTGATTTATTTCAATTATTAATTGATTTAAATGTGGGAAAATGATATAATATTCTCCAAATGCTGCTACTATTTGTGATACTGGAACCACTCCGCCCATATTATCTTCTTTACTTAAAATCCGTATCTCACATTCAATAACAGTTTTTTGAAAATCTTTGAGTACTTCGTTTAAGGCATTACACAAGGCATGCACGAATGAGCCATTTAAATGTTTTTTGGCTGTTTTATCGCCCCCAGGCGCGATTATATTTAAATTGGTTGGGTTCTCTTTTCTACCATGTTGAAGAGCCAAGAAATTAGTGATTGTTCGATAATATTTTCCAAGAATAGCAAGTCGTTCTAAGGAACTTTTTTCCGCTTCATGTAAGAAAGGAAAATCTGGTGGGATTGTAAAATTTTGATCTGGAAAAGCTACGAACAAATCGCCAGGAAAACCGGACAAAGCTAAAAGCAATTCGTGAAGCATGCTGACAAATTTTACATACGGTAATGTTTGTTAAGTAACGCGTCTTGATAACTTGATAATGTAGTGTGACAAATTTTGAGATCACGAGTTCTGATGACTTTTTTATTTAAGTTACGAACATTAAAAAAAACAAACAAACAATACTTGAATAATGTTATTGCCAATACGTTGTGTCGTTCCATCACGTTTACGTTCAGAATATTTAAAATATATTATTTTTCGTGCAAAAAGACCGTGTAAGATATTCCTGCGAAATTCAAAACGCGACTTGGCAACCGAAACTCACGTACCAAACTCTTTATTACATAAAAGTAAGTTTTAAAGTTTATGGTCTTATATACCGCAATAATTTTTTTTTTTTAAACGTGTTCCGTGGCCCCAGCTTTATCCCTCAGTTTTGCGCAGTGATAAGTCAGAAGCTACCAGTGAAGAGCAAAGTCGGAATAAAAAAGACATACCATGTAAAGAAAATTATAAGACATCATTACGAGAAGAGCAAAAAGAAAATTTTATGATAAAAGAAAGCCAGAGTAAGCACCGTAATTGATGGATTCGCGTATTTAATTGAAGCCATTTCGTGAATCTTTTTCATTCTGTAAGTGGGTTAGAATAAAATAAAATAAAATAAAATAAAATAAAATAAAATAAAATAAAATAAAATAAAGGGGTAGTGTGCGATAATTTTTCCATAAAATTACTTAAATTCATCAAAATTTATTATTATTATTGTTATTATTACATTTTTCGTAATAGGAATATTTAATGAAGCAGAAGTAGAAATGCTTCCCAATTGGTTATACAAACAAATTTTCAATAATTCGAATCGTTCACATCCTCCAAAACATCGCGTAGAATTAGCATTGAAAAATTTGAAAAATCAAGGTTATTCTAAAAAAAGTACGAATCATCCTAATAATAATAATAATAATAATAATAATAATAATAATTCTTACATAAATCCTTTCGAATTACCTCAACTATGTGGAAACAATTTAAGTGAACATTTTTGGAGAATTGGTGAACAACAAGCAAAACCAATCCTAGATTTAGCAATTCAACTAGCCGATTCAAATTTACCAATAATACCTTATATTAATAATGAATGGAATTTTATATCTGGCTGGACGCGATATGAAAATGGTAAAAAACCCACACTTGTAGATTTTCCAAATGAACGTATTTTATGTCTTGTAACGAAAACTTTTGCCAAAGAAAATTATCCAACAATAGCGTGTGCCGCTTCTCCAACAGCATGGTATTCATGGGTTTCACCACGATTAGTAAATGTAAATAATTTAAAACCTGGAAATTTAATTCCTATTGGTAAACTTGAAGATGATAGATTAATAGTTGGGCATAATGTTGGAATAGATAGAACCAAAATAAAAGAAGAATATCAATTCGAAGAAACTCGAAATAACTTTTTGGATACAATGTGCTTACATGTTGCTGTAAGTGGATTATGTCACCGTTTACGTTCCGACTGGGTAAAGTATGAAAAAGCTCGTCAACAAAAAAATGAAGAATATTTGTTATCAGCGAAAAAGTTTCAAAAAATTTATGATGTATCATCTATGAATAAATTAGAAGAAGTTTATAAATTTCATTGTGGAAACAAGTTAGAAAAATCAGCATATAATATCTTTAAAAAGGGTACAGTAGAAGATCTTAGATATAAAAAAATTTTTTTTGAAACAATGTCAAATTGTGCATTGGAAGTTAAAACGATTCAAGAGGTTTTAAAAAAAGTTCTTCCCCGATTTTTAGATGTTTGTCCACATCCTGTTTCATTTGCTGGTGTGATTCATATGGGAAACATGTTTTTGACGACAAATAAAGAATGGGAAGAATACATATATAACTCTGAATATGCATATCAATATTTTAATAATTCTATTGAATCGATATTAGAAAATTTGGCGAATGAAGCACTTAAAAATGGATATGAAAATGCAATGAAAGATCCTTGGTTGAGTCAATTAGATTGGAGTAAAGGATCCAAATGTATAAATCCTAAATGGTATCAAAATATTTATAATTACAAGACAAAAAAAGTTAAAATAACTGCAAGTTGTAATTTAGCACCAATTTTATTGAAATTAAAATGGATGAATTATCCATTATATTATTCAAAATTACATGGATGGATGTATAAGGTTCCAGTTGATGATAAAAATTTCCGTACAAAATCGGTAAAGTGTGAATTTCCCAAAAATCCAAATATTTTAAATTATGAACCCAAATTTGCTGAAGATATAATAGGTAATTATTTTGCTATTCCGTCTAAAGGAAGTGAAGGTCATCGTTGTGGAAATCCGTTAGCCAAAAGATATATGAGAGAATATGAAAATGGAATTATATCATCAGAATATAGTCAAGCAGAAATGGTATTCAAAATGAATGCAGCTTGCACATATTGGATGAGTATAAGAGAACGAATCAAATCACAATTATTAATTTATCCTAAAGAACATGGGATTGAAAATGTAGATTTAGAATTGACCGATTCAAAAGATCTTGGAATTATTTTACCTAAGGCATTACCAATAGGAACTATAACTCGAAGAGTAGTAGAAAATACCTGGGCAACTGCAACTAATGCCAAAGATTATTTAATCGGTTCAGAACATAAATCAATGATTAAGGCTCCCAAGGGCTATAAAATCATTGGTGCAGATGTGGATTCTCAGGAAATGTGGATATCAAGCTTGATAAGTGATGCAGAGTTTGGTTTTCACGGATCAACTGGTATGGGATTCATGACTCTTCAAGGAAACAAAATAGATGGTACGGATTTACATTCTAGAACTGCACAAATTCTAAATATTTCAAGAATGGAAGCCAAAGTTTTCAATTATAGTCGATTGTATGGTGCCGGAATAGAATCAGTAGTAGAAATGCTTGAAAAGTCCAATCCTAATATTGATTCGGAAGAAGCAAAAGAAAGGGTATCCACATTTTTCAAAAAAACGAAGGGTGAAAAATGTCATCACAGATTCATTTGTGGCCGCGCATTTTGGTTTGGTGGAAGTGAAACTTATATGGTCAATCGTTTAGAAGAAATTGCATTATCTGCAAAACCTCAAACTCCAGTTTTAAAATGCGGTATAACTGACGCATTAACTTCCAGATACGCAGAATCGAATTATATGACTTCTCGAATTAATTGGGTCGTTCAGTCATCAGGTGTCGATTACCTTCACTTACTTCTTGTTTCTATGAAATATTTGATTAAAAAATATAAGATTCGGGCACGTTTCATGTTATCGGTTCATGATGATATACGTTATCTTGTAAAAGAAGATGACAAATATCGGGCTGCATTGGCCCTTCAAATAAGTAATTTGTGGACTCGCGCGATGTTTAGTCATATGCTGGGCATTGAAGATTTGCCTATTGTATGAATATATCAATTTTATTTTAATGCTTAATTTGCAAAAAATTACGACTAAAAAAAATTTTTTTTTTTTATTTTTATTTAGTCAACAGCATTTTTCTCAGGTGTCGACATAGATCATGTTTATCGAAAAGAAACTGATATGGATTGTATGACAATTTCGCATCAACATAAGATTAAGCCAGGTAAAAGTGTATCAATTCATGACATTCTGAATCATCAAACGTCTTTAAATGAAGATAAGCAGGACGCGAATGAAGATGTCGGATCGGACCCCATTGGAATTCGAATGCCAAAAGATAAATTATGGGCACCCTATAAGCCGTCGCTAACGGATGCATTCATTTGGGCTCAGTCTATGACATCGTTTGAAGAAATTGAACAATTATATCATCAAATTATGGAATCAAATAAAAATAAAGAAAAAGGTTTTCCGAAATTTCAAAATATAAATGGATATCAAAATGCAAATCGGGAATGTCAGCCACAAAATACTTGTTAAATTAAATGAGTCAGAAAAATCTAGATCATTTTAAAATGAATAGATTATAATGGGAACAGGAATTTTCTATTTATAATCATTAAATTCATTGTAATAAATAATAATAATAATAATAAACAATTAATATACAAACACGATTTTTGAATATTATAATTAATAATGGTGATAATAATGTATATACTAATATTGATTTATTTTTTTTTTTAATAACAAAATAATTATATTTTAAAAAAAAATAATAATTTTATAGTATAATCATTTTATTTGTTGCTTCGAATGACTAAAAATAGGAATTATGAATACCAATATTACGAGTACCCTCGCGAGCAAAATTAAAAAAAAAAAGTAATTTACCTGGTGTTAAAATTCCAGTGAAAATTTTGTTTAATAATTTTGATGAATTATTATTTGCTGTCCATTTTAGTATTATGATTTTATTTATTTGTTTACAATTTCAATAATTAAACTATATAATAAAATACGGTGATTTTTTTTTTTTTATTTTGATTTTTTTTTTTATTTCTATTGAATAAAAAGGTGGTGCTACATAAACAATTTCCTTTTCAAAAAAAATTTCCTTAATATAGTACTGCCACATTAGTCATTTTTATATATCTCCCTCATAATATACCTCGTAGTATATCAAAGACAATAAATTTAATAATAATACTTTATTCTTCTTCGTCCATCGGTAAGTCTGAAGGTTTCACAAGTCCCGGAATTTTCAATGCATTTTCCATTTCTGTTTTCTTTCGAAGCTCAGCTTCTGCCTCTCGTTCTTCAAGATATAGATCTGCGTTATCCCCCCCAGCAAATTCTTTAAGTTGAATAAGGAAATCTCGTAAATGTAATTTAAATTTGGTAAAATCCTGGTTTAATTCGAAAAGGCCAATGACAAAAGCTTGAACTTGAGCGCTAATATATAAATAAATCACAAAATTAATATCAAATCAAAGAAAATAAATAATAAAAATGTAAAAATTACAAAAAACAACGGAATATTTTATAAAACAAAACAATACGAACGTTTGTAAATGAGGAAATGCATTTTGTAATAGGTTCATTACATATTCCCTCAAAAACCGTTGGTTTGTTATTGTCGGATCGCTCACTTCAGAAGGATTAAACAGTGGTGCTTGCACAGCACCAGACTCCACAAGGGTAAACATTCTTTGAAGTACACTACATTGCATTTTGAAACCTTATATAAAAGGGTATTAGTAATAAAATTAATAAATAATCATTTCCTTTAGTCTAAACTTCGAAACGTACCACTTTTGTGATCCGTATCAGTCAAGACGAAGAAAACATCTTGCAAAAGATTAAGAAAATATTGTTGATAAAATAGGTTTGCAGTCGCTGTATCCTGTAATGATATATTATTCAATAACTCCAAGCAGATATTAAGCCCAGTTTCAGCTATATCACGCATTGTATGTTTAAAGGCCCAAACAATACTATCCATGATAAGTTTAAACTGTGCTGGAGGCAGAGATAATAAAGCTAAAAAAAAAAAAAAAAAAAAGAAATCAATTCATTAATATACTAAAAATACAATGAACAGCAAATTTTGATAGACAATTAATCATTACCAGGAAAGCAGTGTTGGTTAATGGCACGAAGCAATTTGAAAAATCCAACACGATGTTCAGGATATTCGGAAAAATCTTTATTAATCATATTAAGCGTGCATTCGAAAACAGCATTGAGAATCGCGGGAACTTCATTCGTAATTCCAGCCTTTAAATATATTAAATAAATTTAATACGTCTTTTAAGCTAATTTAAAAAGTTCATGAAAAAGTTCAACGTTTAAAAATATACCCCTAATTTTGAAATTATAGTGGCCATTGAACTCAAAACTTCCGCATCTCTTGCTTGCTCTACATTTGTGTTATAATCAATAAGAACAGCAGACAACAAAGGCGGCATTAAATGTGTTATGATTTGGCTTGTTTCTTCAGCTTTAGTTATATATGTCTCCATTAATTTCAATGTTTCTTTTTTAATTACCCTCAAATTACGTATACGAGGAGTCTTTGTGGCAATTAAGCCTTTTGATATATAAACAAAAATGAATATATTAAAAATATATTAAAAATTTGGTCAAATTAATTTTGAAAATTTTAATCCAAACATACCTTCGCGGGCGACAGTATTCGATATGAGCTGACTGACTGCTTTGTATAGCTCTAACAAAGTAACATATATACGAGCGATTTGAACTGAAAATCCACTACCAACAGCATTACACGCAGCTACATTTGTCCTGAGTACGTGACCAAGAATTTTGGTGTTTTCAGGAGAATTAAGGACGTCGAGATTTTGGCTTATTTGTGCCAATATGCGATCCCACTGAATCAAATATCGCGTGCGTCAATTAATTATGAATATAATTGATGAACAAAAAGAAAGAAACAAGATTGTGAATAATACCCCAGCATTCGGGAGTTCCATGTATAATATAACCAGACGTTCTTGAATATTTTTATTTGGTTGAGCTGAAATCATGTAACCAACAGCTTCATAAAAAGTTTGTACCTAAAGTGAAAAAATAATTTATGAATAGGTTAAATATATTTTATATTCACTTAAAACTGCGAAAATTACCTGTTGTGGGGTCAGATCTTTGGTAATAATTTCGATTGTATTTAGGATTTCTTCTATAAAAGGGCAGCTTTCTCCTTGTTGCTGGGTAACAAACTGACGACGACATTTCTGGGCAATTTTAATGAAAGTATCACAAGCCATATCCTGAACACCTAACAAAAAGCAACAATCCAATCAGCATTAAAAAACCAGTTGGTACCAAATAAATAAATGGACATACCTTCGTGCGTTTCATGCATGAATTCGAATAATTTATTGACTACTGTTTTTAAGAATTTCCAATGAGCTTTGAGGAAACGAGGATATTGACCAACAATATACATAATGTTTGAAGCTACAACAGCTTTATTGTCTTTTCCACGCTTTTGTTCACAAAGACCTAAAAGTTCTTTGATTACTGTTACCAGAAACCTTTTCTCCGTGTCTTCATCTATAAATTTTAAGTAAGGTCAAACATATAAAATAAACCCAAAATGAATCAAATTCAAATTGAAAAATTATTGAATATCATACTCATTGCACCAGAAATGGATCCAATTGCCCAACAAAGTTTGTTTAAATTGTTCCAGGACCATTCAGATCCGTCAACCTTATGAATGTAAAAAATCAATATTCAATAATAGAATGAACGAATGAAGGAATGAAGAAGTGAAATTTTACAGTTTAACAAAAACAAAAACAAAATATATATATATAATAAATAAATAAATACCTGTTTAGTTAACTTATTAGACATAATATTCTCCGCATCTTGTACATCCAGATGAGTCAAGTAAACAAGACATTCGCGCATACTTTTGTACAGCGTGATTGTGTCACAATCTCTCATAAATTCACGAACAATTTCCCCTTCTTCATTTTCAACGACCAAAACCTACGCGAGGAATTTTGTAACATCTATATATATATATATATATATAATTTATAAATTATAGTTAGCAAACTAATATGTATCCCGTACCTCTTCAGGTTTCACCATACGATCAATCATGATAACCCGTAAGTTGGACAATATCTCAGAGTACACATTCTTTCTTAATGGAATATTGACAAGAGCAGATGGCGGCGATGGCGCACCAGTTAGAGAAAGTAAAGGCATATCAAGAACAGGGAGTTGTTGTATTTCTTCGTATAACTCTGCGACCTATACATATTTCAAAAAATATAATTTAAAAAAAATAAAAAATAAAAAATTTTAATAAAATGTAACAAAAAATAGGATTAAAAGAAAATAATAATAACAAACTAACTAACATACCAGCTTCGTCCAATATTCTAAACAAACTTTAAATACTTCACGTTCTTCGACTTGCGAAATTCTGAGGAGGTAGTAATGAGCTGTCATAAGACCCTGTTTATCCTGTTGGACTTCCATAATCTATGAGAACAGTCCGGTAATTGAGATATAGTGATATTCATTCTCAACTCTCCATAATAAGACCGAGGCTGAGCTGTGTACCTTTAGGTGAGCGCTCAAAAAGCTTGTCAAAAACAATGCCAAATTTTGAATAAGTTCCTGATCTTCGTTGGAGCTGTTATTGTAAATGGTTGCAATATCTAAAAATAGTAAATTTTTAAATTTATAGAATTTGGTAAGGTAAATTTTTAAAATTTTAAAAATCCTTTACAAGTGAAGTAATGAAAACGTACTGGCTGAAAGAGGTATCATCGTAGTGAGTGATGACACGACCATGTTAAAAAGTGCAATAAATTTTTCATCATATTCGTGGGAAACTTTTAATGCTCCAATCTCTGTAAGACATTTTAGCGTAACGTTTCTATACTCCGGTGACTCTACGAACTATGTCATGATCAAGCAATGTTATTGTAATAACGCAAGCGGTAACCAGCAAACCCCCCCCCCCCCCACGGAAATCATAATAACATACCCTATTCCTTAGATTTTCGATAACATTCGTCTCGAAAATATAACCTAATGGAATCCAATTTAAAAACCTTAAAAGGGTATCTAGTGTCGCTTTAATTAAACTAGATTGATGTGCTTTTTCTAAAACTTCATTACATAGTTCAAATATCTTAGAAAATTCATGACACATCTGTGTTTTCAGATTTTTTGTTTTTGTTTGTGTCATTTGTTCGGCTGAATAATCGAAAATTTCCTCACTTACACATTAATAAAATAAAATAAAAGAATAAAGTTAACTAAATTTGCAGCTTTTAATAAAATTTTATTTACAAATTTTATTCAATTCATTTATGAATTACCTTAATAATTTGAGGATAGCCATATTATTTTCACAAATATTTAAATTTGATCGTCCAGTACTCACTATTTCTGGAATAAATTGAGGCCAGTTATGTGGCCATTCTTGTTTCAAAATCTAAATAAAGAATAAAAAAGAAAAGTTATAATAATTTAGGGTTAAAAATCGTAATATCTATAAAACAATTGGTTGGTTACCTGCACTAAAATCAAATTAAGTTTATTCAAATATGTTTTTTCCTTTCTAAGTGATTGTTCATTATCAGACGTAGCAACAATTATGTTTACAATAAAATTGCGAATTCCTAAGAAAAAGAAACACAAATTAGAAATATTTCAAACGAAAAACCTCTTAATTTCAATAAATAAATACCTATTTGTTGTTCTTGGGGAAGAATTTTCCATCGAGTCTGTATAAGTTTCTCGAGGATTTGAAGAGCAATAAACTAATAAAGATAATATGAATTTATTATATTATTTATTATATTATCAATATTGTCATAAAACGAAATTTACCAAGATTTAAAGAGTATATAACAATAACCTTAGTGTGCGAATATTTCGATTTATCTAGAATAGCATCAACTTTCAACCATGCTTCTGGACTTTCTTGAAACTGAGTGAGTATTTGTTGAGCTAATTGTTGCTAAAAATATATATTTATATTTATTACATAAATTAAATAATTAAATTTAAATATAACGAACTATTCGTTTTTTAATATTGATAAAATATTGAGTAATAAATAATATAAAAATATACGAACTTGCGGCCCAACCCCTTGATAAAAAGTCTTTACGACAATATCTAGCTTATCAACGTCAAGATCTTTTGAAAAATCTAATACGCTCTAACCAACAGTATCGTGTGATGATAAATTAAACGCGTCAAATGCATCCCGCTGTACCAAGCACTATAAACTTCTGCCAAAGTAGTTACCTCCATTATAATCTACTCAAGACTATAAACGCCACGGTACACTTATAGATAGAATAAAAGCAGAGATCTAAGATATTATAGCAATCGTTTTGATTACAAACCTCTAGTACATATAATGAAGATTGATTTGTCAGGATTAACTTTTGACCGTTCAGACGTTTCGAACATTCCAGAATAACCACCCTTTTCGTATTGTTGATCCACTTGATGACTAATACAATTTTATGCCTTTTAAGGAAAAGTAGGTTTGATAAACACTTATGTAGAGTCAATTTTTTCTGTTAATAAATAAGAAATATACTGCTGCTTTGAAAGCAAGTTAGATCCAAAATAATTGCACAATCTGCTTAAAACAAAATCACCTATCAAAGTGCAAGTAAAATTCAAGAGACATATAATGTCTTGGTGTCTTGATTAAAATGTTACAAGAATAGATTGCCTTCAAAAGAATTAGGGTACTTGGAAAAAATCAAAAAGGTCAAGGTCTATTAAACAGGATTATCTAAGATATGAAATTATCACTGACATTGACTCAAAATTCAATTGAAAACATAAAGAATTTGTTGTTAAATACATATAAAAGAAATTACACAGATTAAAATATTATCTATTTTATATATACTGTATATTGAATAAATAATATTTTAACTATAGTGATAATAATTTGATATTGTGCTATTTGGCTCAATAATTGTACCTCTGACTAATTGATTTTCTTCTAACTAAATTCTGGCTCAATAGCTAAAGATTAAATTTAATTAAATTCTGACACAACTTTGATCACATAAAAAAATTATTATTATAATTGAATAATTATTTAAATTATTAATATTGATATTTTTAATAAATTATTTTCAGATGCTAATAACTTTATGAATATTAGTGCTACAAAAATGAAACATATATCACTGTATAACTAATATATAAAATTGATTTGAATTAAAATAATTTAATTATTATTTTGAAGTTTATAATAAGAGCTTTCAAATAATTTTAGAATTTATATTTAATAATAATTATTTAATAAATTTAATAATTACATTAACCAATTAGAATTACACTATTATTTAGCTTTTGCTTCAGAATTTAGCTATTATGTCAAATTGTACTAAAGCTAATTCCTGAATTCAATTGGTTAAATTAAATCTAATTAAATTCTAGGTTCAATTCACATTACATCTACTATCTCTAATTTGTAAATTACTTAAAATATAATCAAAAATTGAAATGAAATATTAAATTTTTGTAAATTAAAAATTGGATAACATTTTTTTTTATTAATATTAAAAATATATTTCTAATTATTTTTCAAAGTTCTTAATATTAAAAATTTTTAAATGAAATTATAAAACAAATCTATAATTTTACAATTAATTATGAATTTTTGTATAACAATATTTCTATTTTCAAGAAATGTCTAAAATCATGTTCAGTTACGTGATTTTTCAATTGACAAGTGGATCTAGCTAAGTGATCTATTATTTCTAACCAATTAAATTACAAAATAATTTTTTAGATCAAAAATAAAAATAAATAAAAAAAATAAAAAATAAACTTTTGTCACTCTTGCCATCCATCCATCTATCTATTCCTGTCTCTATTAATAATAAAGAAATCTTATAACAAGATAATTTTTATGATAAATTATGTATATATTTATTTTTTATTAATAAAAAAACTATTTTTTATTATTTTTTATTATTTAATTTTTAAAATGTAATAATATATACTATACATATTTCTAAAATTGATTTTGGATTTTTGAGATATTTTGACTTTTTGAGATTTATGCAGAATCTATTCTATATATAGAAGTAAAAAAAGTATTCAGTTATATGTATATTCAATTAAAAATAAATTTGGATAATCAAAAAATTTTGGGTTTTAAGTAAAATAATTTCATCTTCTATAAAAAACTATTTCAACTTTTTTTTTTGAAATTACAATTTTAGAATTCTAAAATAATTTTGCATACAAGTATAGCATGTACAATATTACAAGTAAAAAAACTTCAACTTTCATAAAAAACAAGTATAACAGAAGATTCACTTTTCTTATAATATTTTACATAATGAACTTATCTATTTCTTTAACAATAAATATAAATTTACAAATTTCTAAACACAAGTCAAAATTCAAATATCGGGTATTTATCGGGCACCTATCGGACACCTATCGGAAAAGAATAAACATATTAGGCATCCGATATGATTGATTATTACTAAGTACCCGATAATTAATTTTGTAAATTTTATCATGTGCCCGATATAATAGTGATAGGTGTGAGATAATTTTATTATTATCTCAGGTCCCCGATATTGTCTTGAATATCAGGTG